TTAATGAACCTAATAAAAAAAAGTTGTGTTATTTATACTAATAATGTGTGCTGCAGTACTATCAGTGACAAGATGATGGTCATCTCTAACTACCTTGGGTTGCGAAGAGGTCACCGCCCCTCGTAGGTCATTTGTAGCCACAACTGAATTCAATCAACGTTTTTGGTAAAAAATAATTGATTTTTTCTTAAAATCATAGCACATCAATTTTAAATTTAGATATATATATATAGAGAGAATGCGTATTTGTGAAAAAAACAGATGATCGGTAAATTGGCAATACAGTCGGAATCTGTGTGATTTTCTCGATGCATTGTATTTTAATTAAATCGGATTTTGTAAAAGTGCTTCAACTTGTAACTGTTTCAGACGAATTAAAAACTTATTACAATTATGAGCTTCTGTGCTTATTAATATAATTATGCTAACACATATTTTTACTCGCAGCCTTGCCACAAACTTTTCACATTCATTACCTTGAAAAGTGAGATGGACTTTCCGGAAAAGTTTGCATACAAACATTTCCATTGAATGAATATTTAATTATTCCCACTAAATATTCATTTGAAAAGTAATTTTTTCTGTAGCTTCAAATAGCTTAGTGTCTTTTATGTTTTTATTGTCTTTTTACATGGAAGCATTCAATTCCCATGTAGTGTTATGTAGATTAACGCATTCAGGTGGCGTTAACCAGTAAGCCAAAGATCGCGAGCTGTAGAACGACATCTGCTTTAAGGAAAATGATTTTTGCCTGTACTCCACAAGATACATGTTATATTTTAGAAGTTGGTATCTTGAGCCAGCTTCGTAGGCTTACTAAGCACGATCATTGTGACCGAGAAGACAGACCGCACTGTTCCTGCAGCGGCATCAGAAAACAGTCTTCACTTGGACAACTTTGTTCAAAAGCTGAATTATCAGTGTTTATGTGTAAGCATTTCGGTGGCCTCGGTTGCGAACAAGATTTCGGTTTTGAAAATCTTAAGAAAACTGGAAAGGACGTTTCAGTTAATATCAATGCGCTTGTCATATAAAATAAAATTAGTTTCACGTGTTGGCTTCTAAATCTAAGTCAGTGAATAAAACTAATAATCCTGATTATGTCACAGCAGAAGGAAAGGGCGCTTTAGTGGAGCCACCTCAAAACGTTCCGTTTTACTGATGTTAACAGCACTCGGAGAATGAGATTGCGGGCTTGAGATCCCCATATCTATACGTATTAGATGAAATATTTAGAAAGTTTCGAGAAGGGCTGTTTTAGTGGTTAGGGCTCGATTTGTTCACAAAAAATAATCGAGCAAAAATGGTGAATTATGTTAGAAGATGATCAAAGAAGGATTCAATAGAACGGTACACAATAATATTTTAAATGAAGCATAACTTAACGTAACTTCTGTCCATCTTTCAAATAGAATTGAAAATCAGACCCTCACGAAGTTGGTTGAAATGGCACATTAACTTTGGTCCAAAGTATGCGCGTACGAGGACCATAAGAGATAAGCCCCTTAAAATTTATTCCGATCGGGTCAGAATGGTGAGCTAATGACTTGGTACATTAAAACGATCATTTGTTGGAACCGTCAGATCGGACAACTGCATATATACGATCGATGTTTCAAATTTGAGATTTTGAAATTTTGAGTCAGTTAATTGTCAAAAAGTCATCTGGGAGTTGAGTATTCTGCACACATTTGTGTTAAATATTATCGAAATCAGACGACTATAACCTATAGCTATATGATATATAGATATGAGGTTTTGGCCAAATTAAAATGAAATACGATAAATTTGATGTGGCCATGAAATATATATGTATTCGGGAAGGTCCAACACAACTAATCTTTCTTAACTTTTTTTAATTCTCTTCAGAGGCCTCCAGAAAAAAGTTGTTGTGTCAAAAATACCAAAAAAAGGAAAACTAATTTGAGAAGGTTATGTACACATATACGAGAATATATGTATATTAACTATAGCTTTCTCAAGCATTGATAAGACCATTTATTTATGAACATATGTAGGTATGCTTCATATCAGAAATTTAAATATTTGACTGGTCTCCAATCCACATACATAAGTACGAGTATGTAAATGTGTGAATGTATGTATGTATAAATATGTATGTAAGTAAATGCGTGAATAATTCTAAACAAAATATCAGATTAAATTTTTCGTAGATTTAACTTTTTAAATTCTCTTAATTCTCATGGACAAACATAATATATTGATAAAATGTGCATATGTTTGCATAAATGAATTCTACAGCCATGGACCGTAAGTCTCGGTAACTACAATATTACTAAAAATAAAATTATTGTGCCCTTTTAAACGCCAAAAACTTTTATTTGATATTACATAGTCATTTTTTTAAATTTAATTCCGAAAGCGTTGAGCAGCTTATTTAGCAATAATGATTTTAAACTTAAAACGGAACAAAAGGAAAGCCGCAAGGCCATCTCTCTGCTAATACGGCCAACATAAATAAATTAATAATACACAATTGTATTAAATACGTATAATATTATAACCCCTCCTCGCCAGAATAGGTTGCTCGCCTGGAGAGGTTGTACGCAAGGTTAGGGACCGCCACGTAGAAACCAGCTTCAATGAAGAATTTAACACAGATCATAGGAGAGTGAACGATAAGCTGTATAAGATATACGACAACGTTGACATAGTTCAGCGAATTAAAGGACAGCGACTACGTTGCTAGTTCAGAAGAGAGGAACCTGTCTTAGGTCACCAACTGGCACCGAACGAATAAGATAATAAACTAGTTAACCCAGCTGTAACTAATTGGGGAAGAAAGCGTCGTCTACTCCAATAAGGATAATATGCATTATATTGAAACTTGGAACTTTACAAGCACTGAAGTGATTTTCGGCCATGTTGTTTCCAACGGGATATATTTGCAGTTTATTCTCAGCCACCTCCGAGCGGCTGATGGATTTTTGTTTGAGGAGCTTGAGGCTGGTATTCCCTGCCTTCAATATTTTACATTCTATTAAGATAAGAAATAGTGTTTACAGCTATACTGAGGATTTTATTTTAGATTTAAGCTTGAGCCGGAATCAAGGCCGCTTTTAAATGTCATAGAACCCACTGTGTGTATAATCAGTGTTTTTCCAATAAATGGAGGGTTCTAGAGTTTATTTTAAGCCGCCTCCGAACGGCTGATGGTCTTTTTTATGAGGAGCTTTTATTTCATGTCCTAAATACACTCGGAGGGGTTGACATTCCCTGCCGAGGGGCGACCGCAATTATTGTAGCAAATTTAACAAATTTTTCTATAACTTTTGGATGTTGGCCGAACGAGGATTTGAACAGGGGCCCTTCGAATGGTAGTACGCAATGCTAGAAGAACCCATCGAAAAATATTGAATGAGTGCGAGCCCTTTATTTTGAGCACAAAAAGTGGTCACCTGGACCACAGTGTGGCGTAGGCACCGGTGACTCGAATACAGCCAAATTGTGGAATGAATTTTTGCTTTGCTTATTTGTTGATTGGTTTTGTTGTTTGTCAGCAGGCTAATTGTACTTCTTTGCATGTTGCATTGGAACAGTTGGATTTCTTAAATTCATACTTTCCCATAGCCCTAAATGTGAAGCTTGGGACTACCTGAAAGCAGAGCACTTTCTGAATTCGTCATTTCCATAAAGTCACTTGGTTTCAATGGCTTTTACCAATGAGCAAAGTGGTCATCACATTAACAAACCGACGAGGATCAAGATAAAAGAAATGTAAAACTTAAAATTTAATTTAACTCACCATTTTCACACTAAACCGTTGTATATTTTGTAAGTTTATCACGGTATTAACTTTAGAAATCTTTTCGTTAATCTCTGTTTGTTGGCATAGCGAACATTCACATGCACGATCCCACAATTTTAATAGAACTATTCTTTCATTGCAGAATTTTCTTTCTGTTCTTTCTGTTTGTAAATTTATTTACTTTATAATTGCGTGTACATTTATACATACGTGTATGTATGTATGCTTTTGTAAAAATTTTATTCATTTATTAGCGATTATACCTTGAATTCCAACTAGGAACTTGAAAATTTGAAATATTGATATTGGCACATATTCTATACACATACATATGTACATATAAAGCTGTTTGCACGGAAGTATGGATGTACGGGTATGTATGTATGTATTTGCACAAATTTGTGTGTTGTGTTTAAATAGCTGACTGCTTGAAGCACTTTTGGCGCTGTAAAAAGTGAAAGGAACTCTAACGATAAAATTTCGCCACAACAGTCTATTGTTTACAGCGTACGCTGGATTACTGCCTGCCTGCCTGCCTGCCGGGCGCTCACACGTGCTACGAAAGACGCATCGGGACCAGAGCAGTTAGCCGTTCATGCTTGTAAATTTCTTCTCAATTTGTTTACATATGTATGTCTATATATACCTGTAGTATGAATTTAAATATTGAAATGTACATATGTGAATTCATACACATCTGCACATACACATATACATATGTAGTATATATCGGAGGCGTTTGCTGTTGATTATGCGAGTACAAGTTGGGTACGGTATATGTACAAACATATTTCATTAAGGGAGCAAACTCAGTCAAATGTACATATGCACATAAACATACATATGCACTTGTACAAACACTGATTCATACATTTTTCAGAGTGTACTGGAATAGTCTTATAAATATTGTATATTTATTTATGTATATATATATATATATGTATACATACGTACATATGTATGTGTACATATATATATATATATATATATTTATTTGTATGTATGCTCTTGGCAAAGGCAAACAAAAAACGTTTGCTACAATATACATACATACATATAACTGCTTATTTTGTGATATAAATTATTAGTATGACCGAAAACAGATATGTTTGAATGTATGTGCATTTATTTACACATATGGCTGAATGAATGTCTTTTATATTATTATTATTATTATTATTATTATATTTTTGTATTATGTATTTATGTATGTATGTATGTATGTACATACCTCTCGTTTAATTTGTTATTCTTTTGCCGCTTAATATGTCGCCGATTAAAACTGTTCGTGCACGAATTGGATGTGGACGTTGGTTTTATTAAAACGGAATTCTGTAGCGATACGGACGCTTTTGCTGCCACCGAGCCCACGCCGGCACTGGCTACTGTCGATGTTGACTCGCAGGCGGCTTCTGTAGCTGAATTTGAGCCGCCGTTACCGTTCCCGTTCCCGTTGAAGTTGCCGTTGCCGTTACTGTTATTGGAAGAATGTGTATAATCTGTTGGTGCGCTAAGTTGTCGGTTAAACGCCGCCTTCCGTCGACGACTAATGTCCGTCAGACAATATTTGTTTAAATGTCCATTGCTCGATAGCGAACTCTTGGGCGATGTGGCATATGGATGTGTACCCGCCGCTGCCACGTGCAATTTGTTGCACGAATTCGTGCTAACGCTTAGTTTGTTGCCGTTGTTGTTCAGATTGCAGCTTTTGTTGTTATTGCTATTACTGACTTTTGAATTTCTATGCGTTGTTGATGCTGTTGGCGTAAGTGTACCGCTATAGTCTTTCGAATCGCGTTTAATTGAGGACTGATGTCGATATGTGGGATGCGTTCGCACCGAACCGTTAACGAGGCACTGTTGTTGTTGCTGTTGTAGGTTTCTGCTTAGCGCTGCAACTACAGTTTGTTGATCTTGTTGTTGCTGTTGCTGTTGCTGTTCCAGTTGCTGCTGCAACTGTTGCCGTCCAGCTGTAAGCGACGGCGTCTTCGACCCACTGTCCGATGTAACTAATCGCCCTGTTTGCGATTGCTGTTGCTCCAGCTGTTGTTGTTGCTGTTGATATTGTTGCAATTGTTGTTGGGAATTTTTCTTCTCGACTAAATATAAATTGAGGTATTTGTCTCCTGGATGTAGGGAATTATCGGAAACCGCATTCGACTTGCTTATTATTTGTCCCTTCTTCTTGGCCGTACGATTTTTCAGCGACAAATTGCGGAGTTTCTTCGATTGTTCCTTAATCTTAGTGGATCTGAGAAATGAAGGGCTATTAGCGAGACACTTGAATATGTATGTCTTATTTACTAACTGCTGCTTATCACCGTGTTGCGCGTGCTGATCAAAATCACTTTTTAAATTCGAAAAATATTCCGCTTGCTGTTTCGCATAAATATTGCAATCACTGTAATGCGGCTTGAGGGGCGAACAGTATGTGCCAGTTAATGTGTTGTTGATACTTGTGGCACCGTCTCCGCCGCAATCACCACTTGAAACGTTATAGCGTGTTATTGGATCGGAGTTGCTGAAATTATGTACGACTATATGCTTAAAATCGTCATTGAAGTCGTTGCCATAACTTGTGCTATTGCTATTTGTGGTCGGGTAATGACTAAAGTCCTGGTAGGCGTCACATATGGTGGACGGACCAACACCTCCTACTCCTTCTCCGCCACCGACGCCACCACCACCTCCTCCTCCACCAGTCCCCGCACTGATATTACTTTGATTACTATAGTTACTGTTTGCACAACTGATCGGACTGCTTGGCACACGAGTCGAATTGGTGCAGTCTAATTGTTGTTGCTGTTGCTGTAGCTGTTGCTGTTGCTGTTGTTGATTTTGACTAGATCGCTCTTTGGCGGTTAAGGTCAAGCCGTGCAATTGTCCGCTACAACTGCTGTCGTATGAATGCTGTTTGGAAACACCACTAAGGCGACTTGACAGATACTCGCTCCGCAGTGAGTGTTGATCATCACCACCCCCACCGCTAATGCTGCTGCTAAGGCAACCCGCACTATGCCCGGTCTGACTAATATCCAAATAGGCTACGTTATAGTCAGTAAAATCTGCGTTTTGAGTGTCGATTAAAGATTCACTATCGGGTTCGCCAGGACGCGATCGTTTTATTGATGCTTTGGCCGCTACAGCTGATACGGCACATTTGAGTGACTCACAACTACAGGAAATGTATTTGTGTAAGGTATTACTAACGTTTGTATTGGTGGTGCTTATGTTCCTATTGCTGTTGGCGTTGGGGTAGTTGAGTGATGACGACGACGATGGCTCGACTGCCCCACTTCTACCGCTAGTATTGGTGCCCTGTTGCTCCGATGTATTCGAAACACCGATATTATTCGAGATGTTGTGCGCGCTTGTAAGGTTGATCAGAGACTGGCGCAATAAATGCGGATGTGAATGTTGTTGCTGTCGATGCTGCTGTTGCTGTTGCTGATACAGACGCTGCTGATGTTGCTGATAGAGAGCGTGTTGCTGTTGTTGATCGCTATTCAAATTTTCGCTGCTATCGCTGAAAAACGTACAGAAATAGAAATAACATTGATGCAAACACAAACTTCCAATTAACTGTTATAGTTTAATTCAGTCATATGTACATACATATGTAAATACATCGGTACATACATATGTATATATGTATGTATCTACAATATGCATAAATACATATTTATATGAAGATAAACTATTTCATATATATATTATTAGTAATATGTATACATATATATAAATATGTATGTGTGTATCTGTGTATGTACATACATATATATGCATATACGCATTGTATGTAAATATGTATGTATGTATATTCTAAGAGATATTTTTTTAATGAATAGCAGAGATATTATACTTTTACAATGTGTACATACATACATATGTTGATGTACGTATGTCATGAATGTTAGTCGATTTGCATTAGTACGAGTACGAATACGAGTATAATAAATGTGGAAATCAAAGCATTGGCATTCTACAGTCAAAACAATTATCCAGAGTAAGCAATGAACAAAATGCGCTATGGTGAATAGATTTTGAAAGCGCTTTCATTCGTAATAGCTTTGTGGACCGTATCTACAATGTACTGTTAACATGTATGGATGCATGTACATACATATGTATGTACATATGTACATATGCCTGGGTTCAAGTGGTAAATGGGTGTAATTATTGTTTTGTATTTATATGTATGTATATATGATCGCTACATCAGTGGCATTGCAGTAAATAAAATCATTTCATTTCGATTCTATTGTCATACTTATGTACATACATATATACATACATCAATATGTAATACTGACTGGAGAAGCCGAAGAGAGGCAGTCCAGCACAATGCCGGTTGTAAATCTACATATCATACATACATACGAGTATATGTGAATATCAACTACGAAAAATGTAAAAAAAATGCACTGTTTTGCAACTAAACAGTTTATATGTTCATACATATGTATACACATGCATTTATACATAGGTACACATAAAAGCATTTAGAAATCGTGAGCGAAATGAGTGAGAGCGCAATTTTAATAGTAGTATGACTAGAATTCAAACCAGTGGAGCAGATAAGAGAGGAAGTCAAGAACCTGGTGTTAAGATCTTTCGGAGAGTGTACAACAACAAATCTTTGAAGCTTGTATAAAATTAAAATAAAAAAAAAATAAAATTTAATAAACAAAACTGTGCAACATGAGAGAAATAAACATTCTCTCCATCTTATAGAAATAAACAATTAATTTATATACATATCGCTGCACGTACATATATTTGTATATGTGTTTATAATTGATGTTTTATAACGGCTCATACGGGTTTCCCACGCCACGATTCGTTGTTCGCTCTCCCAATCGTAATTCGCGCTCCAAATACGTGCCAAATTACTTAATTCGCTATACAAATTTTTGAGAGAGAATTACGCCAATACCACCACAGGATTTACGACCAAAGCGTGGTCCTCTTCAATTTTTATTGGTAATTTATAGAAATTAGCTAACAAATCAAAACAAAAGAGTTGAAGCACATGAAAGAAAACCGTTTTGAGTTTAACTGTTATTTGAAATCAAACGTAATTTGTATACTGAAAAAGAAAAGATTAAAAATTATTATAAAGAGTATAATATCCAGGCAGATATTAAACTTAATAAAATTATATGCAGAGGAAGATGTTATAATTTCGTTTGAATGGACTCCACTTGCTATCGCTTTTGCATGGACGAATTTGTATTCGGAAATATTTATATTAACATCCCCAATTTAATTCAATATTTAATGAGCTTTTACTAAATACTTTCATATTTCCTGCTGTTGTGAATTCAACAGAAAAGTAAACCAGCTAAACAGAAAACTGTCAAATTGCGTGCCTTGTGATGTGGGGTAATTCGCGATCGTAATTGAGAGGATAAACAATGTAATTGACTATGCAGTGGAAAAGCCGTATTATTCGATTTTCGATCGAGCTTCTTTTCCGATTAGTAGTGAGCGAATCGCTATTTTTCCTAGAGGGGATTGGCCAAAGTTAACGTATTCTCCGCTTATATAAAATCGCAAAAAAATCATGATACAAGCATTCCGCTTATAAGTATTTCCCGCTTGAAAGCATTTAACTTTATATTATATAACTTTTTATCACTGGATTTCATATTTAAATTTTAAGCTTCTCTCGTAGATTCTAGCATGTTGAACGGGTTAATTTTACCAGCACTATGGTAATCACTTTACTTTTCACGTTTTATCGATTTTATGGGTCAATTACACTAGTGCACATATCCCTGTTTTCGTGTTGAACCACAATGCTCACAATGATCAAGCGAATAGCATTAACATATCACCAGAGAAGGAATATTATTTTGAGCTTGCCAAATTGAGCGTTCAATAAAAAGTTCCCGCAATAAAAAATATTTAATTTCGATAACCTCAAATTTCAACTTAAATGCATTCAAGTTATGTACTTACACGTATGTATGTATGTTCAATATGTGAATACATATTTATGTAAAAAGTTTCCTCTATTGATAGGAAATAATTTTTCCTAACAATTAAAGTTTCCATCAGATGTTTTAATAATTAAATAAAATACAGAAAATATTAAATTTTGTTTAAATCTTGAAAAATATAAATTGTTTTGGTGGATAGTTAAAAAATTGTATTACACATTCAATACAAGAAAATAATTGAATTAGGAAATAAGATTTTCGACGATAAGCCATCGTCATTCCATCGGCTTTAAAATAATCTTGGTAGAAATTTTTTTAATCGTTTATATTTATGATTAAAACAAGTTAATAACGGTTTGAAGTTTCAAAACAGAGCAATAATAAATCGATTTGACAATGTTCGATAAAAGAAAAATTAAAAGCAGAGAACGTAAATACAATATTTACGTTCTCTGTTAAAAGATTCTCGGAATATGACAAAAAAGACGATGTGAAAACGATTTGCAAAGCAAATTCAACAAATTAGCATTTCGTATGCGATCCACTTTTTCCTATAACATATTTCAGAAATGAAAGCTCGATACTTAGGGTAAATGAAATGAAAAGACATCGCGCTCTTTATTGGGGGTATATAATTAAAATTGGGCCGACTTTCAATGAGATATCAATTGAGATGTTTAGTAACTTTCCATAAGGTCTCTCGTATTTCGCATTGTTGGTGTAGACACGTTTTTTGGTAAATTGTAAAATATAGGCAAAACACAGCAAATATTGTACATATGTATGTATTCCAAGTCCGATTGACATGCCAAAATCTCCTGTTGATTCGTCTTTTATCTGGCTACCCCAATTACTAAAAATATCCCCAATAAGAATTACGATAAATACGATAATTTAGTCACTAAAATCGATAGCTGCGAAGGATGATATTCATTGTGTCATAAACTGACACCGCCAATATATCAGCTGGTTTCCTTATTCAAACTTTACAAATATTGGGCTACAAATAAATCATTGTACATATATAAAAGGTGATTTTTTAGCTATTATCTTTTTGGCAACAATGGCTTAAACAGCTTTTGTATCACTGTCAAACATCTTCAGTTTGGTCTAATGGTTTAACTATGAATAGCCTCACAAACGAGCAACGCTTGCAAATTATTGAATTTTATTATAGAAATGCTTGCCCTGTTTAGAAATTTCATCGCGCTTTTTCTTCAGTTCAGCGACGTAGCTAATTTTGGGCTTACTGGGTGCGTAAAAAAGCAGACAATACTGGACTGAGGATCAGCTAGAAGCATTGCAAGAGCTACCAATGGATCCAAGTCACAGTTTGGTGCGGCTTATGGGCTGGTGGCATCGTTAGACCATAATTCTTCTGTGAATGGTGAGCGCTATCGTGAGATGATATCAAACTTTTTTTGCCCAAAATGCAAGACTTGAATGACATGTGGTTTCAACAAGACGGTGTCACATGGCACACAGCACGCGTAACAACGGACTTATTTCACGCTCGGGACCGGTCAATTGGCCGCCTAGATCTCGCGATTTAACTACTTTAGACTATTTTTTTGGGGCTATGTTTAATCTATTGTCTATACAGACGAGCCCGCTCATTGGAGAAAAACATTGAAGCATTTATTCGTAAGATACCGGCCAAAACGTTGGAGACAGTAGCCGTCAAATTTTATGCCGATCGGTTCAGAACGATTTAGCCATGTTCGTCCGTCTATTTTTACGCAAGCCAGTCCTTCAGTTTGACTGATTTTTCGGACTTGAGATTTTGGGTCATTAATTTATCAAAAAAAAAAAAAAGATCTTAGAGTGTGAAATTTGTTATTCTGCACACATATGAAAAGTTATATTTTGGTGCTAAAAACTTTCCATATCGGATAACTATAACTTAATCCTCCATACACTGATTTTTTCAGATATAAGGCTCTCGTCAAAACTCCGTCACAAAGCAACTACAGACATCAGATTTGGTGCTCTGCACACGTATATGTAAAGAAATAGCACCGACCATCATAATCGAAGGACTATATCATAGAGCCTCCATGTAGGCGATTTGTTGAGATATGAGGTTTCGGGTCAAAAATCTCTCAAAAAACCATTCATATAGGTTAAATAGGTTAAAATAAATGTGGTCCCTGAAAGTTATCGATTTCGAATTTGAAAAATACCTAAAAGGTATAAAGACTTCCCCATGGCCGTAGGCAGCATCTTATTTCTTGTTTTAGCTATATTCGAATCTATACTATACAATAGGGATATTTGGTTTCATTTTCATTTCTCTAAATTATGATGAAGTTGTCTAACGTCTGCAGTTTTTAATTATGCAAATAGATTTCAGCAGTTGATTTGCGGCCAACGCACTTAGGTCGAAGTAAAGGCCCGGTATAGAAATGCTTTGACCTTTTCGGGACCAACGCTTTTTCAGCGAAGACCAGTTTTATCATCTCTTGTCAAATTCACATTGCAGCTGAGAGCGTTCCCACATCTTACATGTTCGAAAAATGCTTGCTTTTGACGTGATCTATTTTAATTTTTGAGATCTAACGCCAGCTTCGCTGTAAGAATA